TCTTGGGGCCTCTTGTGGGGCTTCTTGGGGGCCTCTGGGGCCTCCTGGGAGCGTCTCAGGCCGAGGGTTCGAAATGACCGTTCGGGTCCCTCATCAGGGCTCCCTCTTGGGAGCTGTCTTGGGGGCCTCTTCGGCTGTCTTGGAGGCCTCTTGGAGGCCTCTTGGGCCATCTTGGGGCCTCTTGGCCTGTCTCGGAGCGTCGGCAAGCTGACACGGCGACAATGCCTTAATCTTTCAAAAACACCTGAGGGAACTCGATGAGTTTTGCCCCTTGAAGCCCTCTTGGTAGTCCTCTTGGAGTCCTCTGGGGGCGTTTTGGAAAGCTTTTGAGCCGTCTGGGGGCTACTTTGGCGACTTGGACCGATGTTTCGGCGATTCGGGGCCCTCGAGCACCGTCTTGGGGGCATCTTGGGGCACTTTTGCGTTCTTGGGGCTTTTCCGGGCCCCCAAACCGCCTGGGGGGGAGTCGTATCTGGGTGGCGACACCCCCTGGGGGGGAGTCGCATCTGGGTGGCGAACCCCCCCCGGGACCCCCCCGGGTCATCCCCGGGACCATTCCTGGGACCCCTCCCCCCCGGCAGGGAAGGAATCAAAGGGAAGGGGCTTCCCTTCGACTCAACTACAACGGGCCTAGGGGAAGGAGAAGGGAGCGGCGAAGGCGACGACGACGACGACAACGACGAAGAAGAAGACGACGACGACGACGACAACGACAACGACCACGACGACGAGTCAAACGGAACAGCCTCTTCCACATGCCGACAGGGCTGGCGGATTTTCGCGTTCCTCATGGTAGCACGAGCGCTGTACTTTGTTGCTCCTCACCGTCTTGCTCGCAGGCGTTCGTTTCCCCCACCAACCACCTCCAGGGGGCGCAGCCTTTGCGGTGCGCGAGCGATCTCAGACTCGGGCACCCTTCGTCCCCGACCTCAACCACTCGATGCTTCGCCGCGGCAGCTAGCTTCTTGAACTCAAGAACTGATTCCTCAGTCTGTCGCGGACCCCGTCTTTTGCTACCTCCAAGAAGCCAGTGTCTTGAGTTCCAAATGCCAGTTCCCTGAGTTCCCGAAGCAAGTTTTTTACCTAACAGCGAAGACTGATAGGTTTCTAGTGGTGTCAAATGAGAGCATCATGACTCCACAGGGGGGTCTGGGCGGAACCCGGGGCGGCTGCCGCCGAAGCCGAAATCGCTTGGGACATCCTCGCAAAATCGCTCTTGGCGCTCCCAGAACTCCATTCCCGGGCCACATTTTGAATGCCCGGAGCCAACTGTAGGCCACTTCGTGCTCTTCGATTTCCCAGAACTCCATTCCTGGGCCACATTTTGGATGCCCGGAGCCAACTGTAGGCCACTTCGTGCTCTTCAAGTTCCCAGAACTCCATTCCCGGGCCACATTTTGGATGCCCGGAGCCAACTGTAGGCCACTTCGTGCTCTTCAAGTTCCCAGAACTCCATTCCTGGGCATGATTTTGAATGCCCGGAGCCAACTGTAGGCCACTTCGTTTCTTCTAGTTCCCAGAACTCCATTCCTGGGCCACATTTTGAATGCTGAGGCAGGCTGATGCTGCGGCCGAGGCAGGCTGAGGCTGAGGCAGGCTGAGGCTGAGGCCGAGTCTGAAGGCAGACTGAGGCTGAGGCTGAAGCAGACTGAGGCTGAGGCTGAGGCAGGCTGAGGCTGAGGCTGAAGCAGGCTGATGCTGAGGCAGTCTGAGGCTGAGGCTGAGGCTGATGCAGGCTGAGGCTGAGGCAGGCTGAGGCTGAGGCCGAGGCCGACGGCAGACTGAGGCTGAGGCTGAAGCAGGCTGTGGCTGAGGCAGAGGCAGGCTGAGGCTGAGGCTGAGGCAGGCTGATGCTGAGGCAGGCTGAGGCTGAGGCTGATGCAGGCTGAGGCTGAGGCAGGCTGAGGCTGAGGCCGAGGCTGAAGGCTGAGGCAGGCTGATGCTGAGGCAGGCTGAGGCTGAGGCTGAGGCTGATGCAGGCTGAGGCTGAGGCAGGCTGAGGCTGCGGCCGAGGCTGAAGGCTGACTGAGGCTGAGGCTGAGGCAGGCTGAGGCTGAGGCTGAGGCTGAGGCAGGTTGAGGCTGAGGCTGAGGCAGGCTGATGCTGAGGCAGGCTGAGGCTGAGGCTGAGGCTGATGCAGGCTGAGGCTGAGGCAGGCTGAGGCTGAGGCCGAGGCTGGAGGCAGACTGAGGCTGAGGCTGAAGCAGGCTGAGGCTGAGGCTGAGGCAGGCTGAGGCTGAGGCTGAGGCAGGCTGAGGCTGAGGCAGGCTGAGGCTGAGGCTGAGGCTGAGGCAGGCTGAGGCTGAGGCAGGCTGAGCTGAGGCCGAGGCTGAAGGCAGACTGAGGCTGAGGCTGAAGCAGGCTGAGGCTGAGGCTGAGGCAGGCTGAGGCTGAGGCTGAGGCAGGCTGATGCTGAGGCAGGCTGAGGCTGAGGCTGAGGCTGATGCAGGCTGAGGCTGAGGCAGGCGGAGGCTGAGGCCGAGGCTGAAGGCAGACTGAGGCTGAGGCTGAAGCAGGCTGAGGCTGAGGCTGAGGCTGAGGCAGGCTGATGCTGAGGCTGAGGCTGAGGCTGAGGCTGAGGCTGATGCAGGCTGAGGCTGAGGCAGGCTGAGGCTGAGGCCGAGGCTGAAGGCAGACTGAGGCTGAGGCTGAAGCAGACTGAGGCTGAGGCTGAGGCAGGCTGAGGCTGAGGCTGAGGCAGGCTGATGCTGAGGCAGGCTGAGGCTGAGGCTGAGGCTGATGCAGGCTGAGGCTGAGGCAGGCTGAGGCTGAGGCCGAGGCTGAAGGCAGACTGATGGCTGAGGCTGAAGCAGGCTGAGGCTGAGGCTGAGGCAGGCTGAGGCTGAGGCTGCTGACTGCCGTTGCCACTGCGACTGTCATCGCGAGTGCGACTACGACTGCGAGAACAGCAGAATTCTACAACTGGATTCTCATCTGAATCTTAAGGGGAATGCTTCCAGATATGCTCCTACACATCGCTGGTAGGTTGCTGTGCTGGGATAATTAAGCTTCAGAGTCATAAATAGTGAGGAAGTCTCAAGCCAAACGCCCGGCCCGCCCTAAAAACTTAACTCGTGGTGCGACAAGGAGGAGTTATCTATAAGGAGAAGGAATGAAGGAGGAAGAGAAGGAGGGTAAGGAGTAAGAGGAGCAGCCCTGCAACGGCGTCGCGGCCTGGGCTGCGAATCTCTTGGACGAGCGACCTGCCCGTGGAAGTATCGCACTGCTTGCACGCGCCGCAGGCCCGAGGGCGCCACCGCGGAGCGCGGAAGCTCACGCATCTGCTCCGCGCCCCGCCGCCCGACCGCATCGGGGCCGCGGCTGCCGCCTCCAACGAGGGGGCCCTGGAGGCTTACCAGCGCCCGCTCCGCCTCGACCCGCCAACCAATGCCTGCTGCGAGCTTGGCGCGGCGCAGACTGCCGCTGCGCCTGGGCGGGCGAGGCCTGAGAAGCCAGGCCGGCAAGGCGTCCTCGGCCCCTCCCGGGCTGGCCCGCGGCAGCGGCAGCTGCGCCGCCGCCAGCAGCCCCGGCTGCACGGCCAGTGGCAAGGTTGGCGGCCTGCGCCGCCGCGCCCGCCCGCCCCGCCCAGAGCGGCGCTGGCGGCTCGGCAGGCGGTGGCCAGCGGGGGGGCGCCATCTCGCCGCAGAACATCGCAAGAAGAGGCCGCAGAGGCCACTCACGCAACGGCTAGACAAAAAAACGTCTTAGCAGCCATGCGGGCCGCCTCCAGCCTCGGAGAACGGGCGAGGGCCCGCGCGCAGCAGGCTGGCAGCCGGCCTCCCCAGGGGCCGCGATCCAGAGGCTCAGCGGCCTAGACTGCTGCGCCGCCACGGCGCGCGCCCTGCTCGGCTCGGACTGCGCGCCCGCTCCCAGAACCGCACCAGCGCGTGCCCGCGAGCTGCCCAGCTCTGCGAGGAGCCCGTTCGGTCTGAAGCGCGCCACGCTTTCCCGTACGCCTGCGGCGGCAGCGTGAAAGCTGGCAGGCGAGCCCTAAAGGACGCGTGCGAGCGCGCATCCACAGGGAGCGCGGCTTGGACACAGCGTGCCAAGTCCCCGCCCCCATGAGGGACCCATGGAGCTGGCGCTGCGCGCCCTGCAACAGGCGGGGCAGGACGCTTGACCCGCTCGCGGAGCCTTGGAGCGGGCGCGGAGCCCCCCTGCAAGCCGACCGCGAAGAGGCCGCTTAAGACAGCCAGGCGCAGGCGCCTGAATGCCCGCGCCCGCGTGCGGACGTCATGTTGGGGACGCCGTGCCAGGAGATGCCGAGCACCTCGCAACGGCGGCCCGGCAGGAGGGAGCCGTCCACGCGGAAGCGGAAGCCAACAAGTGGCACCGCTACCCGACCGGGCACGCGGCGTGGGAGGCGTTCCCTTGTGGCTTTCGGAACAGGTGGCGACGCGGCAGAGCCGCGTTGCGCCATTTGGCCGTGCGCGAAGCCTGGAGCTGAGGGCAGAAGAGGGCAGCTCAGCGGCAGCCAGCGTCCTGACACAGCGTTGGGGCGCTGAGCTCCCGGTGGCCTTCGGTCGCCGTGCACGGGGCTGCGGGGTCCGTGAGGCGGCCTCGAGGGTGTCCGCGAGGCGGCGGCGGGGAGAGCCCGCTTGCGCGTGCGTGTGCGGCTCGAGCCGCGAAGAGCCCGTTCTGCGCAGGGTTGCTCCTTGAGTGCCGTCAGGGTCGCCACACATCCGTGACCAGCAGCAAAGGAGGAGGAGGAGGAGGAGGAGGAGGAGGAGGAGGACGAGGAGGACGAGGAGAAGGCAAGATGGTGGTGGAGGAGGAGGAGGAGTAGGAGTAGGAGGAGGAGCGGGCAGGATGGTTGAGGACGCGGCGAAGGCGCGGCAGACGAGGAAGGAGGAGGAGGAGGAGGACGAAGAAAGGAGGAAGAGGAGGAGGAGGAACGAGTAGCGCAACAACGACAACCATACCGACCACCACCGACACGGCGACGAAGACGGAAAGGGCGAGGAAGTCGACGAGCAGCACTTGCAGCGGCAGCCGCGCAGGTCGACACTCGCTCGGCCGCCGCCCCCGCCGCCTCGGCAGCCAGGGACCCAGGCCTGGCGGCGGGCGCAGTAGAATCGGCTCGGACGGACTCCCGCACCCTCAGCCATCAGCTCCCTATGCGTGCTTCACAGGAAGTTCCAAGCTATCGCCAAGAGCCCACCTGGCCCCGACATTTATTTTGCTACAGAAGGAAATCGCGAAGGCGCTGCATCGGATAATGAGACCGATCGTGCCCAGTGGTGTAGCTTTGCTCCCAAGGCTCCGCAAATTCTGGCCTCTGGCAAACGACACGCTTTCCGACCAAGTCGCAGGTTTTCGAAGGACGGCCGCCTCTCTCGGCCCCTCTGCTGGCGTTGCTTCTTGCTCGTTCTAGCTGTAACGGCTGGTGCACCTCTGCCAGATTCAACCAGAGTCTGCAGACTTGCCGAGTCGGATGCCAAGCGATGGGAGGTGACCAAGACCTCCGCTGCTTGGCCTGCCTTGCCCCCCTCGCGCGTCTGCCGTCCATTCTGCCCTCTCTTCCCGAAAGTTACGCCGAGTGGTCGCCTGAAGATACACTGATGATTTGCACGTCCCCTCCCCCGAGCGGTGCCGAGCTCAAGTCTTCATTCTCGTGCATGACCTTGCCACGGCTTCTTTTACATGTCTGCGTGCCCATAAACGATGGGGGAACGGGCAGCTTCACACGCTTTTCGCGGCTCGGGCCAGTGCCATCGCCAAGAAGAGGAAAGGTATTTGGATGATCTTTTTCAGGTACGATCATCGAGTGTTGAGTTGATTATCATTGTTATCATTGTTAATAGTATGTGTCATTGTTATTGGCGTTATAAACCTTAGTAGTGTTATTTATCATTATATGTATGATCATAGTATTAGCAAAAACAGTACTATTGCTGATAACATAGTCATTAAGATTGTTACTAATACTGGTGTCATTGGTAGTGATAGCATTGCTGTCTTTATGCCGATGGTGATAGTGATGATGATGATTATGATGAGTATGGTGATGATGATGATGATGATGATGATGATGATGATGATGATGATGATGATGATCATCATCATCATCATCATCATCATCATCATCATCATCATCACCATTGTAGTCGTCAGCAGCATTAGCATTCTCATCACAATCCTCCTCCCTCCCCTCTCCATGTTTCTCCTCCCCTCACTTCTTCTCTTCCCTCCTCCCTCCTCCCCGTCCCCTGTTGTCCATCCCTCATCGTCCCATCTCATCCTCCTCCTCCTCCTTCTCCTCCTCCTCCTACTCCTCCTCTTCTCCTTCCTCCTCTCCTTCCTCCTCCCCTCCCTCCGAATCCCCCTCCCCCGTCCACCCTGCGCCCAGGCGGCGACGGCCGGAACCGCCCCCACAGCGCCGCCGGCAAGCGCGGCCGGAACCGCACCCCGCCTCTCGCGCGCGCGAGCGCGCGAGCGCGCGCCAGCCCGCCCGCGGTCGCTGGCGGCGGCGGTCGATATTAAGCCCCGTGCGGGAAGCACGAAACGTGTGAGCGGCGTGCCGAAGTGGACGTTGGGACACCATGCGAGCACGCCCACTGGGGCTATATGTAGGGTTCACTGTGGGCCACGAAGCGCGTGAGAGGCGTACCGAAATCGGCGCGGGGACGCCATGCAAACACGCTTATTGGGGCCATATGTGGGGTTCTCTCTGGGCCACGAAGCGCGTGGGGAGCGTGCCGACATGGACGCGGGGACGCCATGCAAACACGCTTATTGGGGCCATGGGTTGAGCCGCCTGTGGGGGCACGAAGCGCGTGAGGGGTGTTCCGATGTGGGCGCGGGGGCGACGTGCAAACACGCCCACCGCGGCCATGGGCGGAGTTCTTCGTGGGGCTCGAAACGCTCGAGGAGTGTGTCGAATTGGGGGCGCGCGCTCGCACGCCATGCAAGCACGCCCACTGGTGCCGTAGGCGCAGCTCCCTGTGGGGCACGAAGCGCGCTCAGGGGGGGGCGCCGGCATGAGCGCGGGGACGCCATGGGAGCACGCCCGCGGGGGGTCACAGGTGCAGCTCCACTCGAGGAAGCGATCTGCGCGAGGGGCGTGCCGAACTCGGCGCGGGGACGCCATGCGAGCACGCCCATCGAGGCCATGGGTGGGGCTTCCTGTGGGGCACGACACGCGTGGGGGGCGTGCCGAGACGGGCGTGGGGGAGCCATTCGAGCACGCCCACTGGGGCCATAGGTGCAGCTCCATGTGGGGCACGAAACGTGTGAGGAGCGTGTCGGCCATGGCTGGAGCTCCCCGTGGGGCACAGAACAAGCGAGGGGCGCGTCGAAGTCGGCCAGGGCAGGAGGAGGAGGAGGAGGAGAGGGAGGAGGAGGAGGAGGAGGAGGAGGAAGAGGAGGAGGAGGAGGAGGAGGAGGAGGAGGAGGAGGAGGAGGAGGAGGGGGAGGAGGAGGAGGAGGAGGAAGGAGAGCGAGGAGACGCGCGGCGCTGCAGATTCAAAACGAGGACCCAACACACAGGAGGGTTGGGAAAAGAGTTGGGACGCTTACCTCTTTCTCATCTCCTCCAATTTCTGTTGCCCTCTTCGGCGGCTCCACAGGCTCATCAGGTATAACCGCACCAGGCTTTCCGTAACTCTGTGGGTTCCCCATATGGCCTCTGATCTTCTAGCCACTACTAAAGCAAGGCGATGTATTTTTGCCAGAGGAGGATGTGGTCACACGTCGCGTTCCCAATGTTTTCCTGCGCAAGAAATGTCATAGCATGTTCCTTCGGTTCCTGGCTTGGCACCCGATGAAAGACACCGTCCTTAGCTCTGAGTGGTATGCAATGTGTTGGTTCCAGGCCGATAGGGTACGCAACTACCAGCCAACTCGGATCTTGAGGAACGGAGTTCTAACCGATTTAGTGCCAGCATCAGTGACCCCCATCGCATCTTAACCTAGACAGCCTGGCTCGAGCACAGCCGTTGTTTGTGATTTGTTGGGGTCGCTTATCTGCGCGAGACCACACTCAAGGATTTGAATGGGCAACCCAAACAAGCGCCGCAGGAGGGCCCCAAGGAATCTTCGGAATGTCATCGACTCCAACGCCTGGATTGCCACCAACAACCAACGTTGGCAGTATAACCCTTCAGCTTAGCTCTACTTCAAAGAATGGGGCGCCTGCGACGCTTCTTCGAGGAAGGATCCAGAGGCCAAGATGACACGGGCCGTCTACTGGCATGTCAAAAGACATCGTGTGGACACCGAGAGGACGCCTTGTTCATGGGAGCTGGCTGGGGATTTGGGCATGGGATGGTTGGACTTCGGACAACCCGCGCGCGCTGGGGAGATTCGTGACACGTTGGTAACCTTCAACAAGTTCAAGCTTAGTTGTTGTCATTTTTTGGGTATTCAAGTTTAAGTTGAATTGTTTCCTTGCCAACGTCGTAAGTCGATGTCATAGTCTGGATATGCACGCTTGTGCGTTGGCAACAGCTGCGGGACTCATCTCTCAACCTGGGTCTGAGCGCTCGCTGAGAAAAGGATGTATCTCGTCGTTTCCCTGCTTCTGGCTTTTCGCCGCTCTATGTGTTCCGCTCCCCTTTCAGGCTGAAATCAGCTTCTTGCAAGTCACCCTTTTCGCTTGACGCCCTTGTACATCCCAGACATGTAGATTGTGGCCAAGTGGGACAGTTACACATTATGAAGACACCTCGACGTTTCACCTTCGTGCTAGAAAGGCTTTCTAGACCATGACGAGCAGATCAGTTCGGTTCAAAGGCCATGCAGGGGTGCATTGACCCCTTGGCACAGAATCTCGGACTGTTAATGGCCCGCCCATTACAATCGCTGTCGACTCGCGCGAGCCAAAAGGTTGAGAACCACTCTGAGCCACCCAGCTTGAAATCAATGTTTCTGTTCAGGACTGAGTGCCCTTCTGTCTGTCAAGGTTTGCGAGTATAAAAGAAGGAAGATTGCGACTCCAATTTGCCGAGTTCTGCATGTGCACGCTTGGGTTTGCAGCGCAGAATGAAACGAATTCCTGGGTTCAGATTGCCTATAGGCTGCCAATCACGGAATCCCCTTATGTCGCCAACACATTGTTCCAACATCGTTGGGGTGTTTCCAGTCGATGCTTGTTCTATCCCTTGGGATTTATGAGTCACTTCAGAAGTTGGATTCCACTCTCAACCCTCTGGATGACAATCGGAAGATATTCATATTGGTCGGACAGCTATTTGCCGACCTAAGACAACAAAAATTTGGATATTAGTTTTTGAGTTCTACCAAGTGGGATAATGACGCTAGGCGCCCCAAATGTTTTCACGCAATGTCTTTCAATAGTGGGTTGCCAATTTGACTTCGCCATCCTCATTGCAGGGTGTGCTTGACATCGATATGTTTCGATACATACGTTTGCCCAGGATGCTACATAGGGCTTTCGTCACGTGATTTGGGCGTCGTTCTCTTTCTCCCCGTCGTTCCTTCTATCGCGTCTTCTATGTTTGTTGTGGCCTGATTTCCCAGGCCCGTTGCATTTAGGACCCCGCTTCCCTACGACGTATCATCTCTCATCATATCTCTCCCTCCCTCTCCCTCCCTCTCGTTGTTTCCCCCTTGGTCATCTCTCGCTACCGTTCTTTCTCTCGCATCCTCTTTATCCTCTCTCTCGCCTCCCCTCCCCCTCTTCTCTCACACCTTGGGCGGTCAAGGTTCGCAAACGCCACCGTCTGCGGATGAGGAAATTCATCGAGGTGGTAAAGGATGGGTTGGGAGTGTCAGGATGTCAGGTATGGCGCATGCGCGCCCAGCTTGTTAGTATGTTTTGTTGTGTTGTTTCTGTCTCTATCTCTCTCTCTCTCTCTCTCTTTCTCTCTCGGTTTCTATACATATATATAGATACATAGATAGGTTATTATCGCTCTTTCTCTCTCTCTATACATATATATAAATGTACATATATATGCATACATACATGCATACATAGATACATACATACATACATACATACATACATACATACATACATACATACATACATACATACATGCATGCATGCATACATACATACATACATACATACATGCATATACCTATACATATACATATTCATATGCATATAGATATATACGCACATACATATGATCCCAGGCTCTGGAACCACGGGCCACCCCTCCCCGTGGAATGGGTCTCAGGCTCTCTAAGGCCTCCCCCCCCCAGATGGGATGTTGGGGGCGACGATGACAACGACGACGACGAAGCCGACGACGACGACGACGACGAACACAACGACGACAACGATGACGATGACGACGTCGTCGTCGTCGTTCTCCTCCTCCCTGATGGGGGGAGGGGAGGGCCGGACCCCACCCCATACCCACCGCCGCACGCCCACAGGGGAAGACCCTACAACGCCGCGCCCGCAGGGGGGGGATGGGGCCCAACGCGCGGGGGGTGCGACGGCATCAGCATGAAGAAGCGGGGGAACTTGGACCCTGGATCATATACGTATGTATGTCCTGTTTCCCTCTTCTCCTCTCCTCCTCTACCTTACCCTCCCGTCTCTCGCTATCTCTCTCTCTCTCTCTCTATCTCTCTCGTTCCCTCTCTCTCTCTCTCTCTTTGCCGCTTCCCTTCCTCGCGCCCTCTTCATCGCCTTCGCCCCTTTTCCCGTGCCCCCCCGGCGTGCCCGGGCAGGACTCCCGCCGCGCCCGCCGCCGCCGCCCCGACCGCCGCCCAGGCAGCTGGGCAGTCGTCCTCGTCGTCGTCTCCTCTTTCTTTGGCAGATCCTCCTCCTCCTCCTCCTCCTCCTCCTCCTCCTCCTCCCCCTCCTCCCCTCCTCCTCCTCCTCTCCTCCTCCCTCCTCCCTCCTCCCTCCTCCTCCTCCTCCTCCTCCTCCTCCCCTCCTCCTCCTCCTCCTCCTAGTCCTCCTCCTCCCTCCTCCCTCTTCCCTCCTCCCTCCTCCCTTCTCCCTCCTCCCTCCTCCCTCCTCCCAGTTAGATTGTGTATGAGTTCGGGGTAAGAGGCTTCAGAACCATCAGAGATGTTTGAGATATGTTTGAATGTTATTCGACTATCCGTAAACGGGATGGCTCAAGCCATCAATGGTTCGACAGCTCACGCTGGAAAACTAACTTTGGTAGCGCTGATGTGGTGGCAGGTCCTTTGAGACACACCGTCTCTCTGCCCTCAGCTTCGCCGACTGGTTCCGGCACAGCGTCGATTGCGACGAGAGCCCTTCATGTCCCAGCAGCAGCACACGTACGCGAGTAAGCTCATCGTACATATTCTTGCAGCTGCAGTTTCACTCACCCTCATCACGGACACCCGGCACGGCAAGTGGACGCACTTAGCCATGGAGTACGGAGACACTTCAGGCAGTGGTGGCGGTATCCCGCTCGACACGTTCAACAAGAACACGCCACCAGGATGGCGGCCAGGCAACGGCAAGTACCCACTGCGCCGCTACATCCAGCTGCTCAGGTTATGGTGGAGGCAGACAGATCTGCCAGAGCATGCAGCTGGCCCAGCGATGGCAGGACGTCTCAGAGGTTCGGCGTTCCAGATAGCTATGAAGATGAAGCGCGATAGACTGGACCTCACCGTAGGAAAGCGACGTGAGATGGAAGGAGACGAACTGCTAGCTCAGCCTTCACATCCAGAATGGCAAGACTCTGAAGGCATTCAGCACCCCGCGGAGCCAGCTGGAGCCTCGATCCTGATGGACGTTCTTGTTCAAGAGTTCGAGGTTCAAGATCAAGACATGTCAATCGTGGCTTTGTCAAGTTTCTTCTCCCTCACCAGAGGCCACCTTCCGATGAATGACTTCCTCACGATGTTTCGCCTGTGCTTCGAAGAGGCCTCAGACAAAGGAGGCCTGCAGCTCAACAACGTCGGCAAGAGTTTCCTCCTGCTCCAGATGTCAGGTCTATCAGAAAAGATGCGGACCGACCTACGTATGCAGATTCAAGGAGACCTCAATCGTTTCCCCGAGCTCATTGCCTTGATGCAGAGAATGGCTAATCACGAGTACCAAGGCACGACATCTTCGATTCCAGCCATGGTCTCACAGTACTGGACAGACGAAGGTATTTATTGGGAGTCGGATTACGACTCTCCTGAGACATGGGCTTCAGACGGATCATGGATGTGGGTCGGCTACGGAGAAGACGAATGGCAGGACGGAACGTGGTACGACGACGGCACGGACTGGGAGACCAGTCACGACGAGGAGCACGGCACCTATGACGAGGAGTACGAGGAATACACTGAGGAGGACTACTACGGCGGAGGTGGCCAAGGCCGTGGCAAAGGCCGAGGCCGTAGTGGCAAGAAAGGACGAGGAGGCCGCAAGAGTGGAGGCAAAGCATCATCGTCAGACGGATGCACGACCTGCGGCTCTCCACTGCACTCGAGCGTGGACTGCCCGATCGTCAAATCGTCGTCGAGTTCACCTTCCAAGACAGGTGACTACTACGGCAAGAAGGGCAAGTACCGCAGCAACAACAAAGGCAAGTATCGCAGCAAGTCCAAGTCCAACAAGAACGGCAAGGACAGCCGCTCGAGTGGCAAAGGTTTCGGCAAGCCGTGGAGGAGTACCAGCAACGGCAAGGGCAAGAGGAACGGCAAGAACAGTAGCTACTACGAGGACGACTTATCATGGCAGTATGATGAATATGATGGAGAAAGCAGTTGGTTCACTCATGGCATTACGACCACATACGATGGAGACGCGACAGCTCCCAAGCCAGAACTCTTCACCCTGGGCTCGCCATCGGCATCGATTGCAGCTGGACCGAAGATCACGCTTCCAGTTAAGCAGACCGTCCAGCTGGGCACCAAGTTCGACGCGGATGCGGCAGTTGTCACGCCCACCGAGCAGACTACGGTTTTCAATTTCCCCTCTGATCAATCAGCAACGACGCCTGATACGTCGTCAGCATCGGGAGCAGCTCGACCTGTGGCAGGCCCGCTGCTCAAGAAGTCAATCTTCATGACGATGGCGACGATCAACATGGCGTACAACTACCCGGCGAGCAACGAGACGTTCGGCACCATGCATGTGGTTCGAGGTGTAGAAAGGCTGGGACTCCTAGTGGATACAGGAGCATCCTCAGCCTTGATGGGCACCGACACGCTGCGCGTCTACCTGGACAAGATCGTCGAGCCGTTGGGCATCATGAACGAGGTGCACTTCGGTCCCTCGACGTCCATGTTCACAGGAGTCGGAGGCAGACCCGAACCGGGACTGCGCGTGTGCACCATGCCTCTCGGAGTTCCCGGGCTACCAGGAGCTACATTCTCGACCGACCTGATCGGCAACAAGGGCTCATCATGTCCTGGTTTGATGCCGTTACCAAGTATGGTGGATTGCAGTGCGTTGGTAGCTTGCGGTGTCTATGACAACCGAGACGGCATCATGATCATTTCAGCTCCCGGCAAGCGCAAGCAGGATCCTCCTCAAGTGGCATTGGTTCGTATTCTTTACACCGACTCTAATCACTATCTTTTGCCAACAGACAGGTTCGAACAGACTGCACTGGAGATTGCCGAGGAACAACGAGATCTCTGGAAAGTTCTGAAGGCCCACTGGTTTGACAAGTATCAACGAGGAGTATCGGCAAACATCGAGTGGGCATTCAACCTCGACAAGTCGGAGATCGAAGGTCCGCCACCCTCAGGCGTGGAAGTAGCTGTTAGAGACTCACCACGCCGACAAGAGGCTAAAAGGACAGGTATCGGACTCGCTCAAGATCCTCCGACGCAGTTAACATCATCATCAGGCAGTCAGGTGATCCATGACATCCATCAAGTAAAACTGTCGCCGGCAGCAGCTGCATTGTTTGCTCCAGATCGTCAGGGTTTTCAACGTCTGAAGCAGTGCCAGAATCGGACCCTCACTTCTGGCTGGATGAGTGCACCTGGTCAAACCTACTTTCAAGATCTCTGGCCAGAAGGTATGGACGAAAAGGAGAAGCAGCAGCTGGAGAAGTACTATGCATGCATGCCCGAGGAGTTCTACTATTTCAGCGGCCTGATTGTCATTACTCCAGACAGTGCCGAAGAATGGTGTCAACAGATTTCCAAGATGTTTCCAGAGCTGGACCTCATGGAGAGCATGAGCGGCTCTGGCAGGCTTTCATTATGCGCATATATGTCAGGTCTGACTGTCAGTTTTCCTCGGGACTTCAGATACGGCTGGGATCTTCGCAGGAAGAAGCATCGAGACCTCTTGGATAAGATCGACAAGATCCTGGCCAGTCTGACAGAATTCTGGTCTCCACGATGCTCACCATGGTCGGCCTCAACAGTCATGAAGGAGGCCACGAAGCTCCAAGCGTCTCGACAAGCGGAGTGTCCCAACTTGCAGTGGGTTGCTCAACGTCTTCGCAAGGTACATCGAGATGGACGAGCCAGTGTCCTGGAGAATCCAAGGAGTTCGGTTATTCTCAAAAGTTCTCCATTGAAGTCGATCGCTCAACTGGGCACGTTTGGACATCTCGATCAGTGCCAGCTTGGGGCATCAGATCCATCAACTGGAGTGCCAGTCAAGAAGCCAACCTTCCTGCACATGATCAACATCACCCTGCAGCGCGTCCTGCACAAGTGCCAGGGCGACTCGAAGTGCAGCGAACACTCAGTACTGCAGGGCTCATTTCCAGGCACCAGCATCAACAAGACAGCTGCGGCGGCTGTCTATCCATGGCCGATGGTCACGGCCATCGTTCACGACTTGCACGACTACCTGCGGACGGGCGTCGTCAAGGACGGCGACGAATCCTCGCTATTCTACACACACCTTTGGAGCTGCGAGAGGTGCAAGCACGGCCTACACAAGAAGCTGGCCGACGGCACCAACACGCCGACGGCTCCACACACACGTGTGGCAGGATGCAGGTTTGCTCCACACCGTCAGGGTATACCACCTGGAGGTGTCCCAGATGCTGGCGGAGGTGCGCCAGCAGCACCGCCAGGGCTTCATCCGCCCTTGCCGGGAGTGGAGCCAGCAGCAGCAGCAGCAGCACCACCGCCAGCTGCACCTGCGGCACCACCTGCCTCGCCTGCAGCACCAGTGGCAGCAGCAGATCTTCCTGGACCAGCCCAGGAGGAGGCGCCCGCTGCACCAGCAGCGGCAGCAGCGGCTGCAGCTCCAGCTGCGGAGATCGAGCCTCCGCCAGAGGCAGTGGCACCGCCAACGTACATTGAGCCGAGCTTCGACCTCAAGGCCGCCAAGAAGGTGCTTCGTGATCCGAAGGCCTCAGTCAAGGAGAAGAAGGCCATCATCATGGGCATCCATGTCAAGTTTTGGCACGCGGCTGCCATGGAGCTCAAGAAGATGCTCTACCGGGCTGGCTATGGCAAGGAGGTGCTCGACTTAGTCGATGGCGTGATCGAGTGCTGCAAGGAGTGCAGCCAGTGGAAGCGCAAGTTGACTCGACCGCAGGTGAAGGCCATGTTGTCAGAACACTTCAACTACAGGGTCCAGACGGACCTCTTCTTCATCTTCGACAAGACCTTCATCGTGCTAGTTGACGAATGCATTCGCTGGTGTCTGGTGGAAGAGCTTCCGCGCAAGACCGCCGACGAGTGGATGGCCGTGGTCTTCAGGAGCTGGATCAGGTATTTCGGCCCGATGACCTACTTGGTAACCGACCAGGAGGGCGCCATCACGAGCGACCTCGTCGGCAAGTGCTGCGAGAAGTTCGATATCATCCGCGACTTCGGCGGATCGCAAGGACA